AGCACCAGTACCGGTAGGGTATGGAGACAGTAGAAATTAAAGGGGGATGCACAATGGACCAATAACTGGTCTAATTGCATGGGGAAACCCACCCCCTCAATACTGAATACTGAATAGTGAGAAGATAAGCACTGAAGCATTGCCAAAGCTGCTATAAAACTTCAACTAATGTCTGCCTGATAAGGAATTAATTTTTAACACCTAGTATGCTAGTCTTTCTGGCAATTTTACTGTGGGTATGTCTATTTGCCTGACATATTATGTCAGAAGTATGAGAACAGCATCATGGTGCACCATCACATGATGCCAGTGGCAATGAAAGGGTTAAAAATACAAGAAAGCTGCCTTCCGGGATGTGGCACTGTAGATCTTGTGTGAACCGATGTTTCGGAGGACTGCTAGCCACCTTTCACACTGATTCTTTGCTTGTGGATTTTTCTACCCTGAAGATAGAGGTGATACAGTCCTCTGAAATATCAGTTCACACAAGATCTACATGGTACCACATCCAAGAAGATGGCATTATTCATAGTCACCGATGTGAAAACCTCAAATCCTATATAAAAATATGTTTTCATTCATCTTTCCATAACTGTGAGTGTTCAAATTGTGGCCTTCAGGTTTGTGACACCATGTAGTGTCTGGGGTGAATACCAGTGTTCTGGACGAACACTAGTATCCACCCCCAAGACTACATGTTGTCACAAACCTGAATATCACAATATAATTTAAATCTGTAGTTGACAAGGTCACATGTATAAAAGGAGTAGCAATGATTAGTTGGCTGCTTCAGAGACAATATTATATTTTTTTCTCTCCTCCTGCTCCCACTTTGAAGCATTGGGCTGATTTCTCAGTTTCTTGATCATTTTACAGATGGTATGACTCCTTGGACGGGTGATTAGCTCATTGCAAGGCCATATTACATTGCTCTATGAAAAAAAGTCACCAGTTAACATCCAGTCACAACTACATGTCACTGCATCCTCACATTAATTAACCGAAATGCCCTTCATACAAGACGCATGTGTGATGGGAGACAGTTACAATATTTTCCATATTTCTTTACCAGAATTACTATTTATTTTTTCAAAAGTTTTGAAAACAGTTCTTATTTTTGCTCAAACAGCAAACCACATTAAATTGTTTTTACTACAACAAAATAGAGTCTTATGCCTTCTTTTCTACAGAATAAAATCTATAAATCATTTCATTCTGTCAGGCCAATAATTTAATAATTTCAGGTCATATCTTTGCTAACAGTCAATTCAGTGTTAGTACCAAAGAAGTTCACGGTTATATAAATGAACCAGTTCATGTGGTTAATCAATTAATCAGCACACCAAGAATATATACAGGGGCTACAGCTAAGCGCATTCTTAACTTCTATACCCGATATAAGTAAGTGGTCAGTTCTGGAACTAATTGCTTTACCCCTCGGTACTCAATAGATAGGATGAGCCATGATAGCTCAGTTGGTGTAGTGTAGGGCTACAGGCTGGATGGCTGCAGTTCAATTCCTGGCAGAGCAGTTTCCAAACTGGCTTTGGGGCCCACCCAGCCTCCTATTCAACAAGTACCGGGGATCTTTACAAGGGGTAAAGTAGCCAGGGTGTGATGCTGACCACTCACTTCCATCTAGTGATGAGGTCAAGAATGATGGAGATATACCTCCACTCCCCTATACGTCTTCATGGTATATTGCTTAATTAAGCAAGCACATGGACAACTTTACCTTTTTTACTCAATGCACAGGAGATGGGATAGGCACCAGAGCCCTTCTGGATGCAGTGATACACAGCCAAATCTACGCTGCTATTTGGAATGTAACGCAAATTCCCCAGTCATCCAGCCCATAGCCTAGTTACTATTCACTATATACACATAATCTTCATGTGTATATGTGTAATTTCTTCAGATTACATAAGCCTCATAAGAAAAACGTTCAGACTTGAGAAGTAATTGAGGTGTCAATTTCAAATCCTTAACTGTACTCACCAGCACCCAGTCGAAAAACACAGAGATGAGCTGTGGATTTTTTAGGTGCATTCTGATACAGTAACTTGACCAGCATGTACGGCCTCAGCAACATGACTGTTGGGCTGGTACAACCCACCTAAAAAGAAAAACAATAAATACCTCCGCTGTCATATATGCATGTATGTATTAGAACAAACTGCATGTCTACAATTATAATTATAAAAGACAAGTCTGTCCAATGTGACTATTTCAGTTTTATCACTTGATGATTCACTAGCCTTACATGTTTCGATCCATTTGGATCATCTTCAGAGGCACCAAACACTTTTTTGAAACCACTATCACAACAGTTGTCAATCAAATACACATGTAATGTCTACAGTTTATTCTATTGTGGACTAATACTATCTCTGAGATGTGTTTGGATGTATTTGATCAAACAGCCATACCATATTTTCAAAATGTTCACATCTGGTTCACTGGTATTTCATCTTGTCATCAATAGATGGCAGCAATGTGTTCTTCTGACCTTTTCTCTGACTGAAGAATGCATTTTATTTATTGTCATACACCAATAAAGTTTAAAAAATGATAAGAAAATATAACATCAACACTTGACTGTCCTGTTCAAATCTCATCCAGGGCAATGTCTATCCTGGCAGGCTCTTGTAGTTTTCCTCAGTCTCACCAAGAAAATTCTGGGATATAACTTCAAATTAGATCCAAACTGAGTCCTTCCACTCTCTTTCATGTTTATTTTCATTAACCATCCCACAATGCAATGTCATTAATATTGTTTGAACTAGCAATAGGTTTTTAAACAAACTGTAAACAAATAAATAACTTTCATCAGATGAAAGCTGACACTGTCTCCATATTGTATAACAGGTCTAGTGAACCTGAAGAAAAGCACTGTCAAAATGTTTTATTTCTAAATCTCTGGATTCATTTTATTCAGGTATTCTGAGTACTTTAAGTAGTATACATATGGGTTAAACTACTGCCATTTTGTAGATGACCTTGTACTGCCTACACCTCAGACAATAACTAAGTAAAAATCATGGTCACTTTCTTCCACACATTTCATATCCCATCAGCTACATTCATTCTATTATGCAGTGCAACATAACCTCAGTGTTATACACAACATAGTCAAACATCCATGACACACAAATACCCTACAGATGAAAACAACAATTGCTAAGCCACCCATCAGATTACGCTAAACTGACCACACTATAATGAGAGGATGAACTGTCATATAGAAGACACCAAATATTCCCCTTAACCATGTCAGTAGTTGCTGATTACAGCAGCTGCATGATCTGAGGCAGCCGTGTCAAACATGCGGCCCCCACAGCCACAAAGTGTGGCTCCTCAACTTTTAGAGCTAATTGATATTAAAATCAATATTAAAATTTCAGTAGAAATATTTTTTGTAAAGACAATTTTCCAACAGGCCAGAAGACAAGAAGTCTTACGCAGACATAAATTAGCAGGTTGCAGGAAATTCAATGTTTTGTTATTTCTAACATAATTTCTTGTGTAATCTCTCTTGTTACATATTGAAAAGCTGTTTGATACTTGTCAAAAATGGCATTCTCTTGCTTTTTAAAACTGTAAGATATGTGACTTAGGTAATTATATTGAAATTATTCCTAAATAATAAATAGAATTAAATTTCCTTGTATCAAAATCTAATGTATATTTCTATTTTGAAGTGTGGCCCTGGACTATTATTTATAGGGCTGAGGTGGCCCTCTGTACAAGTTGAGTTTGACATGCCTGATCTAAGGCATGAACCATCTTCGCCCACTGGAACACTGGGATCATGGGTTCGAATTTCACTCAAGGCATGGATCTCTATCTGTGTTTATTGTGTGTCTGTGTTGTTCTGTGTGTAGGTAGTGGCCTTGCAATGAGCTGATCCCCTCTCCAAGGCGCCCTACCGTGTATAGGATTAGGAAACTGAAAAAGCTGCCAAGGCCCAAAGGCTATAGAGAGAGAGGGGGGGAGGGTAAGTAGTCTTCCCAATTAGTATTACAAATGGATAATTTCAGGAATAATTCTTAACTGTCACATCATCAATACTGCACTACTATGAAATTTGTATGTACATCTAATGTATGATATATCAAGTACGTCGGCTTGTCAGACGGAATACTGACCTCCAAATTCGGTGCCTGATTTGATTAAACATACCTAATGTGTGTGAAAAACAATACAGTACGTAAATAGAATACACTGCTGTCATACTCGTACAATAATTATACGGAAACTAGGGAAGTTATGGAACTTACTGTACTGAATAGATCTGACGGTTAGTTTACACCTCTAAATACATATCAGTAACAACAACCCTGTGAAAAGTTATTAGACGTTTCGTAATTCGTAATCGAATTAATAGAACCACATTTCTTTTAATGAAGATACTTACGCTTTTAAGACAATGTCAAAGCAATCTTGAAGGCGGCTGTTTAAATCTTCACGAAAGGATTATCTAAGAAAGTTCATATTCTGATCATATCACATGGAATTGCAAAATTTCATATCCTATGCCAATATTTTACCATTTCACCTACAGAAAAACACAGTGTTCACAAATTACAGCACGACAGCGGTAACAAATTACGGTATATAACGGAACATAGTTATTTCAAACGACAACAGATGGCAAGACATACAGTAGAACATAGTTGTGGCATCTTTCGGGAAGAACTGACATTACGTGTGGAACGTTACCGGCCGAGAAGTGACTAATACACGGATTTGGCATGACGCACTACATCAACATGAAGATATACAAAATAAATATTTCAGTTTCTGTACATTCTCGTCACGACAATTTAGACACTGACTAAATCCGGACAGATGGCAATAACAACATCGGAGGCGAGATCTGACCTCGTAGCTAATAACACCTTCCAGAACTGATGCAGAAACGAAAGGACATCACATCCACTAACCATAGTAAAAACAGACGACGACCCTGTAACTGGCACTGAATCCCACTTTGATGCCCATTTCAACCTACAGAAAGATGCAAACAGGACATCGCTGACGGTTTATATTTCATTAAATAGTTAACTAACTCCATGGAGCTGAGATCTTTTTGAGAAGCCGCCAGTTGGGCAGCTACTCAAGAACTTCCCAACTTTTATGGAACCCGAAGGTTCATTACCGTGTTCACAAGAGCCCTCCACTGGTCCCTATCCTAACCTAGATCAATCCAGTCAATATCTACCCATCCTATCTCTCCAAGATCCAGCTTAACATTATCCACCCACCTACACCTTGGTCTTCCTAGTAGTCTCTTTCTTTCTGGCTTTCCCACCAATATATTATTTGCAGTCTTATTCGCCATCATGGACACTGCCACCTAAAAGGGCACATTTTCAAACTGGGGCTGACAGACGATCCAATTTGTGAAAGGTGCCTACAAGAAGATGAATCAGCCACACACACCTCATGTGATTGTGAGGCCATAGCTTACTTAAGATTTTGCCACCTGGGTCAGTTCTTCACGGAACCAAGTGACTTTTATGATACCCCCATAAATAAAGTCCTACATTTCATACGAAGTGTAGGATTAATAAAGGGTTAATCCAAAAGGGAGGCACAATAAACCATTGAAGGTAGGAGTGTTAGGGCCACTTTTATGTCTCACCACACATACTCATACTCATCATACTCATATTCGCTCTCATTCGTGCTACATATCCTGCCCATCTCATCCTCCTTGACTTCATCATTCTAATTATATTTCGTGGAGAAACGGCAAAATGGGGCCTTTAAAAATTATGAAGCTCCTCATGATGCAGTTTTCTCGAACCTCTATCGCTTCATCCCTCTTTTGGTTCAGATATTCTCATCGGCACCCCGTTACATTAATTATATTTTTTAATATAATCCTAGACGTTTCGAGAAACTTTGAATGAAGTTCAACCAGCACATTTCCCACACTCCAAATTTGTGAGTGGATCCTATTGGGGACCATGTGACCAGGAGAATTTTGCCGGTACTTTCCAGGACTAGTCATTCTATCGTGATAAGTTGACACTTGAAATCCACAGAAATTCCAACTTATTGCTGTCGGAAGTCTGGTGGTCTACTTCAACTTTTAGGTTATGCAAATGAAACAAGTTTAAAGTTACAGATATGCAACCAGCAATAGCTAGACCTTGTGCGTAGATAAGACTTCTGCATAAGCAATTTATGTCCAAATTTAGGTGTGGAAGAGATGTCCTTGTTTGCCTTTTAAGGAACAGAATATCGAAAACAGGTGTATGTCTGGCAACTAAACAGATTTCGACCCATAACCGTTTGTTTATACCTGCTATACGAGGAAATATTGCCGGGAATTTACGTGAACATAACGCATACAGTAATAATAAGAAACACTAGTTTCAAGACTCCACAGTTTAGGTTGGACTACTTGTGACTTTGCGATATGTTGAGAATGTTCACTATAACGAGTTTAAACTGTGTTACGTTTTATCTTCTGTGTATCACATTTTGCTAATTACAGTAAAACTTGGTTATAGCAACATCGGTTTCTGCGACACCTTGTCTATTGCGTCAAATATTCAATGGTACGAATTAATTCCTCATAAAGCAACTGTTTTTATACCTTGCTTAGTACGACATGCACAAATGCATCAACCTCGTATGTAACGTCATTTTCATTCCTGAATTTCTCTGATATCGTGGGAAAGTTCGATGTGTCTGCCCACCCTGACTTTCTCTACTTGCTGACGTGACTGTCCTGGAAGAATACGACCGCGGGCTGCAAGAGGAGCGTGGGTTTTATGCGAAAACAAGAGTGTGGGGTGGGACTGCGTGAATAGTGCAAGAGGACGCGGCAGGTTGTTAACTGCATTCCTTTCCTAGAATCTCGTCTAACAGGACCTCACATTGTCTACTTACCCTATAGTGTTCCTGCCTAAACCCAGAGAAGTGCAGTAGCGAAAACATGGCAATGAAAAGGAAAGTTTTAAGCATTGAAGAGAAAGTTAAAGTGATTCGTGAAATATTGTGTGTATTGTCAGTGAAAAGCGCTGTAATATGTCTTTGATATTACACATTTGGGCAATTCCACGTTAATGTTACGTTAGTCTGTACTTAACTACGTATTTCACTAAAAAATGCAACATTTTAACTCGGTTTTTGGTAGATTTTTACGTGACTAACATAAGGCTACTGTGGAAGTGCCCATTTCGGTTACAACGACATTCGTTTATAACGACACTATTTTTAGGTCCCTTTGATGACGTTATAACCAAGTTCTACTGTATATGCTTGGTGACATTTACAGAACAAATTCCAGCGGTTATCAAATACTTTTAAAAACTCGTAATCAACATTCGCTAATGAAAACAACAAAGTGTAATATTGCAGAAGGGGATTGAATCTCACTGAGATCACGTGTGATCGTTTGGCAAAAGTGAAAACTGGTAAATGGTATTATAACAATATTTTCCTGAGGATAGAATTCACATTTAGTCCAAGATGGAGAGTATATCGATTCTAAATATAATAACTTCCGCTATGAGAGGAACATTCATCATTCATTCATCAGTAATCTGTCAAGACGACAGGTCCACAGTCTCTTCCAAAACAGTTCCTCCACTTAATGCGATCTAGAGCTTTCTCCTTCAAATGAAAATATCCTCTTCTGTCCCCAAGGTCATCCAGCATCTTCTTACGTCTTCTTCCTCGTCTTCTGGTCACTTCTATCCGCCCCTCTATCTTTCCTTCAATAACTTCTTTTAGAAGGCAGTTACTGCGTAAGATATGACCAATCCAATTAGCCTTCCGTTTTCTTATTTCGTGTAGGATATTCCTCTGCTCACTGACTCTAATTAACACTTCTTCATTTCTCACATAATCGGTCCAACTGATCTTCTCCATCCTTCTCCAACACCACATTTCGAAGCTTTTCAGGTGTTTCTGATCTACTGCCCTAAGTGTCCAAGTTTCAGCCCCATACAAAGCCATGCTCCAAATGTAGCATTTCACTACTTTCTTTGAGAGGAACAGAGGGACAGAAAATATAGTAAAAACAGCACTAGAGCTTAGAGATGAAGTTGATATGGAAAATCTTATTCAAGATGGAAGCAAAGAAATATACGAGGACCTTATGAATAACGTTGGTATACAAAACAAGACAATGCACAATGAGATTAAAATAAAGAATATGTTTAATTTTGTGACACTGAAGAAATTAAAATTACAAAAACAAGTCCAAGGTTGCTTAACTTCGATAGTCAGACGAGAACCGGTATTATCAACATTGCACCTAATTTAAAAAACAGCTCTATCTCGGAAACCGTTCAGAATAGACACATGTACATATACACTTTTTGCTTAGAATGACCGATACTATGACCTCCAAGAATATTGACCTTTCTTCCTGGGACACTCTGTATTCAATAAGTGGACAATTGTTGTTCCTCCAACCCTGGGGCTGGAAGTGGGCTGATAGGCAATCATAGTAAATAAACTAACTTGTTGCGAAATTTACGAAATGTTAAAACCCAAAAATTAAATTTGTTTTTAAATGTGGGGTATTCTACATTTCAGTATGTAGTTCCATAAGTCTGAACCGATGCATAGCAATAGGCGTGAAAGGCTTAAACTCAAGTCCGTAAAAGAACTTTCTGACTGTTCCCCCCACCCCAACCCAACTCCTGCCAGCCATAATGAACAACATAAATTCCTTAACGATCCCTGTTTGGTCCATTCTGCTCACCTTCTCCAAAAATCTCTTGATCGCTTTTTCTTTTAATGTTTAATAAAATTACACTTATTTTTTATTCTTAATACGTCAGGAGGAAAATTCTGACACTTCATTTTAATGGCCCATAAAATCCACCAGATACAAGTAAACAAAACTGAAAAGGCGGACTCCAATTAAATAACCTGTTCCCAAATGCGTTCCTTACAATGCCATAAATCCCACTTGACCATACCCGGGATCGAACCCGGGCCACCGCGGTAGGAAGCCAGCAACTAACAGCTGGAGCTATGGTGCGGCCAAGTGGCGAGGTAGTGCAATACACTAGATTGGGGAGGGGGGGGGGTAAGAAATTATGTCTCCGGTTTTGAAGGTTCCCAGGCAGTGTCCACTTGTCCTTCTGGTAATGCATGTGATCGGAATTAATTTTTACGACATTTGGAAGGGCTATATTACAGTGAAATTTTATCTAACATTGGGAGGTCTCAATTTATTGAGCAACACAATAATTCAGTTCGTACCTCAGAGGAAACACATTACTTCTCCGCTACAAAGCCCAGACTGTTAATATTGTTTGTCGCAGTATGTTGTGAGATGCATGTGGAACACACAAATACACTTCGTGAGCAGAACCTAGACTTGCTGTGCTTAAGCTCATGGTACATACAGAACAAGTAAGCTTTGAAGAGTTAATGTGACTCTATGGTTTTCCCAACATTGTCATATTTCAATCATTTGTTTACACTGTTAGCAGGCTTATAACACGTTGTTTCCTTGGGATTCTCAATTATTTAGCAATGTACCGATAAACGTCGAGCACAAAATCCAAACACGTGTACAGCTGATTCTTCAGCCGTAACTAAACATTTATTTCGAAAAATCACTACTCTGAATTCGGTATTAGAACCTCAAGAGATTGTTAGCACATCGTATCTCAGTCACTAAACGAAGATAAT